TGAAATAAATAAAATCATTTAATTCAAACAGAAACGATGTAAGGTTTAAAAAACAAAAATCTTGACGCGCTCAAAAAAAATAAAAGAGTACAAGGTAAAGCATATTTTCCTTTTCTCGGAGAAAATCGTTTGACAGAAATGTGTTGTACTTTAGATGACATATGTCCTTCTTTAATTAAACATCGAAAAATTGTATTCAATTGTTACCGATGTTGCATTTAGAAATTGACTCGTAACAATGGCAATATGTTTAAAAGTTTTGACGTCAAATCATCACGACATAGGCATAAATTATTATGCGACGAGATCTTTCGTTTAGTTCTCATCCCACCTCGTTATCTGAGGGAAAAAGAAAAAAAAGAAAATAAAAAGGAAAGGAAAAAAAATTATATCTACCCAGGTGGTATCGAAGTAGGTACACGGACGATATTTCGCGAGAAAATCTACGGAAAAGAGGCTTGCGGTAGCGAAACGATTTATGGAAGACGTTAACGATGTTCTATAATAGCTATCTCCGTCATACATTCTCATCTCTCGTTTTCTTGGTACCTTACACCGGACGCTGATGGCAGAATTACACCATTAGTATCATCCTCTCGACGACTATGACGACGACGACGACGACGACGACGACGACGACGACTACGACGAAGACGAAGACATCTTCAAGATTCTTCCTTCCATCCAGTCAACGTAATGTTTTATTTTCTCCCTGTTGAGGATCAATGTCGGGAGTAAAAACATATTTGTGAAATGAAAGATCGCTTTACTAATGTATAAAGATACTAAGCCTGAGAATAAGCTCGTAGAGATGACAATAAAAAAAGAAGAAACGTTAGACTTTTTATTCGATGACGTTTCTTCCTTTTAATTCTCTTTTTTCCTTTTTCTTTCTATTTCTACAGAACCTTCTTCTTTTCTCTAATCATAGATATTTGCGAAAATTTTCAACGACCATCATGTCGGATCTCAACTACAATACGTTTTTTCAACTTATGTTTCATTCGCTCGTCTTTTGTGTTTGAAAAATGGATGGACAGTAAACTAGAAAGATAGATACGTTTGTGTACAAATAATAAGTATGTTTGGTAGAAATGTTTTCTATCTTTCTTCTACCGTTCTATATACATATATCTTTCTTTATCGAAGCCTTTATATCCCGGAGCAAAACTCGAATCTGAAAAGTAATCGTTCTTTGAAGTTTGCCGTTGAAAGAAGTAGATACCGAATGAGAGTAGTGTTCTTCGTACGCTTTAGCAACATACAGTTAATAGCTGAAAGCTAACATTCGTTACTTTGAATTGAGGAAAAACATAGAAAAGGTATGGAAATGATAGAATAGAATAGAAGAAGAAGTAGAAGAGAGAGAGAGAGAGAAAGAAAGAGAGAATTCTTTTATTTTTACATGGTTGTTTTATTCTGTAAACGGTCATTTTTCCTTTACGCCATGGTCTACATTTTCCTGCGAGAAGTCGGGATGGCAAACAGGAACTTCATTAAAAGTGGTCGAACGCTCTCTCTCTCTTTCTTTCATCGCTTTGAAGTTAGCTAGCGAGCACAAAAACAAAAAAAAAACAAAAAAGTCAAGGTACAAAAAGCAACGATGATGGTATATGATGGAACGCTTGGTCGCCTTCGGTGGTGAACACAAGACTTTTCTCAAACGTTGGAACGTCATCGGCTTACACTTACACCATGTAGTTACGTTCCGTTTATCGAGTATTTCCTTCGTCGGTCCATCGTAGATCGTATAACCTTGTACCACGATTGGACACGATCCTGTGTCCTCCGTTACGTTACTCTCGACTTTCTTTATCGCCACAGGCGAACGTTTTACGCAAGAATTTTCTAACATTCTTCGTAGCAGCTTCTTCTTCATCTTTTGCTTTTGTTCGCGGTGTTAGGTCAAAAAAAAAATGAAAACTAAAAAAAGAAAATTCTTTTTACAATCGAAACCTTCATTCAAGAGCGTCGAATTTATAGGACGAGATAAACGGTGTGCGTTCACCATTGGGAGGGAAGGGAGGGCGTTGCTTGTCATCTTTGAAAATCGTATCGAGAAAACGTCTCACATACATCTTTCCCCGTCTCTTCTCTTTTCTGTTTGTACACGCTTTATATGGTAATCCGTTTCGCGATCGTCGTGCGGCAAACCGTGCGTACCAAAGAAACACACGAGCAAAAACGAATAGGTATCCCGTGTACAGTAGATAAAGTATGTGACTCGTCGTATATTAAAAAGTAGAGGGAATAGGAAAGTGTATTCGTTTCCAGATTGGCGATGGTAACGGGTGGTAGGTTCGCGGGGGTTGCAAAGAGGAGTGTCAGACCGGTAGGAAGCAAAGTTGTGTGGCTTCTCGACACTGTCTGACCCGTGGATTATCGGCTTACCGAGCTAGCACGCTTGGGTTATTTCTGCACGTGGGATGAGGGCCTCGACCTGGATAAGGTTAGAGCTTCTAGGAGGAAGAAAAGAATCTACCGTAATACTGATTTCCGGTCTTTCCTATCTATCGTTACACCGTTTTAAGAGTTGATCGTTGAATGAGAATGACCGGGTGTTAGAAAGCTTTTATTTTTTAATCTGATACCTAGGTACCATTCTACCTTAGGTTACACTCGGTCACGTGATCAATCGATATAGAATACTTGGAATAGGAGTTAGGTGTAGTATATGATATAAGGGTTAAAGGTGTTCTACGACGCTCGATTTCCATTATCCTTTCTCCGATACACGGAAGCTTCGGTTTTCGGGTTGTCTGTCGAGAATTTCGCTGACAGCCTTTCTACCGAATGCTTGTTACAAATACATGCTGGCTGTTGGAGCAACACACGTTGTCGTTCGCACAAGTGTTCCCTGCTGCTGTATCAGCACCGTGACAATGTATTCTCAGCAGGTCGTCGATTCAACGACAAGTTCTATAAAGAGTAGCGTTCCTTCCGCAGCATACGAAACGGCGGTATTACTTTTCCTGTTTACGAAGTATGGAGGAATCGGGACGACCGGATAAACGATCGTACGAAACGGAACGCATATTTTGCGAATAAAATTTGAAGTAAAGAATGATCGTATCAATGATAGTTCTTACTTTTAAGTTAAGTCTTGGCACGATAGTTTAGCGACATAAATAACAAAAGCTCGAGATAAGAAGAAAAAGATTCAATATTTATTCTTGGCTCGAAGTTTCGAATCATCCCTCTTAGTAAGATGATAGAATCCTACGAATGAAAAATAATGCGCAGGATATTTATCATTGCGGAAAACGTTGGCTCCTAGAACAAAGAAAGTTGACGTTTTAAAAGATCTTCCTACGAAAGATCTCGCGACGCAGGATTTCTCGTTTCTGAAAACGCTTTTCAACATTTACCGTTCTCGTGCTACGTTTCTCCGAAGTAACAATGGCGGAAAGATCACGCGAAGCGGCAACGCGGCGACGCATACTTGCCACCCTTCAGGACTCATAATGCACCGGAGGCAGCCCAGGGGAAATTTAGCAGACGCCGTGAAAACCGTTGTTTTATACGCTTATACCGTCGTACACGCGAGACTGCCTCAGCCGTAGGTAGATACAAGGTAGGTAAGGTAAGGCAAGGTAAAAGCATTCGTGATCCCAGCAGCGAGTAACTCCATTAACGTTAACTCCGCGTCCTCTCCTCTCCTCTCCTCTCTTCCCTTTCACCCTCTCTTTCTCTCTCTTGTCTCGTATCTTCTCTTCTCGCTTTCTCTCTTACCTCCTTCCGTTAGCCACGGTAGCCTTCGGCTTCATACAGTCTCAACAGGGAGAATTTAACCAAGAGCGGTCAACCGAAATAATATTAACGCAAACAAATAAATATTAATATTATCGAAATTTTAAATAAATGTTTCTTTATATTCATTATTTTATTTTTATCCATGTATAAAAAAAAAGATAACTCTCTCGTAGGTTAATTTTTTCACATTAACTCTCTGTTAATCCATCTGTTATAATCACAAAATATTTTTGTAATAACATTTCTCACCTTACGTGGGACATTAGTTTCAATATGATACGAAAACGATACCATGAAAATGCAGAGAGGGAGAGAGAGAGAGAGAGAGAAGGAGAAAATTGTCGGATAGGAACTAAAAGTAATAAGGGAGACGTAACAGCTTCGTCGACTCCGCGCCAAGCGAAACTGCTATGGAGAACAGTTTCTAGGAAATTTGGTGTCAGCACACGTTTTTACGCGCATGCACTTTCCATAGTAGTGCGCGAACGCGTACCTCGTTCTATTAAAATATATCAAGGCTCTATTCCTTACGAAGAATAATTTTCTTCCTTAGAGTCAGCGAATATTCGAAAAGGCGAAATCCCGCGGTCTGCTGGAATTAGCCGACGGGGTCGAACGAGTTGACAAATTCACGGATATTCAGAGGGCTCATTTTTCTCCTTCCCTTTCTCTCTTTTACTCTCTCTCTCTCTCTCTCTCTTTCTATACTTTCTCCATCTCTCTTTCACTCTCTTTCTTTCTCTCTTCTCCCCTTCAGACTCTTTAATATCCGAGTCGGAGCAACGGGAAGTCAAGGGGCGGAAAGATTCACGTTTTCTGGGGCGCGAAATCGCAACAGGGTCCTTTTCCGTACTGGGTTGCGTCTCGACATTCCCTCGATTCTATCTCGAGAGATCACCGAGCGAACGAAACGACCACGCGATAATTTTCTACTAGCATGGGATGGAAGGAAGAAGTGAGCGTATTCCCCGGTGGCCACGTTTTCCCTAAAAAAGAAAGAAAGAAAAGAAAAGAAAGAAAAAGCTAAAGAAAAAGAACAAGAACATGAAAAGAAAAAAAGAAAAGCAGAATAAGAAACGAGAAAAAAACTTTCTTTTCTTCGTTCAACCCTTAAAACGTAACCATGGATTCTTTCTTTTTTTTCCATCTCTTTTTTTCATTCGAGAAAATTCCATTACGTTGAACGACGACCGAGAGACGACAACTACGAGAACGACGTTAATTCTATCGACGATTTCACTTTACAGGTCCAGCGATCCCCGTGAGGGCGGTTCTTCGAGGTACAGCCGAGCTACCCTGCGATATTCGTCCACCACGACACAACGATTCGACCGTTTCGGGACACGACTCTGCCATTTTGGTCGTCTGGTACAAGAACGACATGACACCTATCTACAGGTGAGTGCTACCGAATCGATCTCTCGTGTTCCTTCTCTCTATAGCTTTCCTTCTCTTTGCTTTAACCCTCAACCTCGCCATCCCCTCAAACCCCACCTCTTTCTCTTTACCTCCCATGAGGTTAAGTTACGGCCTCGAACGGAGGTAGTATAAAAAGACTACTAGCTAACCAGAATACGCAACGTGACTTGAGCTCGTTAAACTCGACGATAAGAACATGCTCGAAGAAAGGAAGCTTTCTCTTTCTTTGTTTCTCTTCAACGTGTTACTTGCATCGTATATATATAGATCTAATAATACATATGCATACACGTAAGATATTTTCTAAAATCGTTTGTAACATTTTTGATATCTAGAAATAAAAGACCCTTCGAAGTTAGCCGCGTTCAAAAGAATTCGATTCCTTATTGTTATGTATCTGTAGTCCGGAAAAAACTATAAAACCTTTGTGTAAGGTTTATTGAAGGCATAATCTCGTCCTTAGTTGTGCTATGAATGTATTAGATACGTAATGTAGGATCAATAAAATGTAGATTAGCAAGAAATATCGAGAATAATTTGTCATGAAGAACTTCAAAAGTAACATGTTTTACTATTGCATTGCCTTATAATTATTGACTGTAATTTTAATTAATAGTTATTAAAATAGTGTCTATTCCAGTTACTATAACTTCCTTTAACTTCATCCATATTTGGGTGACGTTCTGCTCGTTCAAGTTAAATAGAATTTTAAATTGGAATCTTAAAATAAATTTAATAGAATAACCACGCGGAAATATAAATACGAAATATATAAAATAAAATTATTACAAATATACAGATTGTTCTATTATTAATTTATATTTATGATAAGGTATTATTATATATAGCACAATTTACGTTCTGGCGGATTTGGATCTCCATAAAAAAACCAAATCATGATGGATGATTAATGTGTTAAAGATAAATATATCAAAAATTGAAGAATACTGTATATACCTAATAGCGTGAGAACCTTAATAATTATTAGAAAATATCCATGTCAATTTTCCTTTTTTACAAAGACACATAATTTCTTAGACTGTAAAAAAGATACAACGTAACGAACGATCACCACCTCATTGCGTATCCAGGCAGTAAACCGTAACCACTGATGTATGTATCTACGGCGTAACGCAGCTACCGATGTCCTTGATGAATTTCGTCACATGAGCCACTTGGCTTAGGTATGTCATCCCTTCTGGAATTACTCCGTTAAGCCGGAGTCAAGAGATAATGGAGTCGCATGCTACGTAGCTAGCGAACGAGCAAGCAAGCGACCGACCAACCGAAGGAACGTCGTGAGGGAACACCATAAGAGTAGAAGGAGGTGGAAGGCTATGAGGGAAACATTGTGAGTAAGCGAAGAGAAGGGTAGATTCTGTGTAGAATGAAGGGGAAGGTTAGCTAGAAGGTGTGAGAGTTAGGCGGTAGCAAGATAATAGCGTGTCACGAATAATGCAATTTAAGTGCGACGGTTTCCTTTAGTGTCTCTAGCAATTATTTCCTTGGCTAATGATAAAATTATATCTCGGTTTTCCACTTAGATTTTCTAATTTTTATGACTCCTTAATCTTTCCAACCAAATATATATATATATATATCTTATCTCTATAAAATTCCCCTGTCACAGTGTTTGTTATTCTTATTCTCCGAAACGACTTGACCGATTTATATGAAATTTTTTGTGTATATTCGGTAGGTATGAGA